AGTAGTCACACTGCTATTCGAGTCACCCTACAGGCATTTGAGTACGAGATGTTTCGCAATTCATCTCTCACTATGTGTTAAATTTCAGCCCATAAAAAACATTTCCAATTTAAAATCTGTGAAAATAGGTTATATTTAAAGGAATATGCTGATCAAATCTATTGGAGTAGTAAAGATTGTAACCAAAGTTTAAACACATTAAACATTTTTTATGTCATTCCTTTTTACACCGTATACTGGTTGTATTTAGAAGAGTCCTAAAGTGCTTCAAACCCAGCAATTAACAAAGTTGATATCTTTTGTGCAAAATTGCAAGCACCTTTTCAAAAAATAAGCAGCAGCATCAAGGAATAACAACTTAAATAGTTAAATGTATTTCCTCTATTTTGTTTTGAATTCTTGGACCAAAGTAATTTGCCATATTTTCAACAACAAATTGCAGAAGGGTGCATTTTATTAGTTTAATTTTATACTGGACTTGTTATACATATACTGCTTGAAATAGCGGACCCCAGTAAATTTATATCCACAAAGCAACACTGTGGGATTGAAATCCAACAACTAAAATTTTAGTTACAAAAATAGTAATTTTATAGAACAAACAGAAACGATGGTTATCTCTCCACTTTCTTCCAACACTAATATGAGAAAAGACGGTCTGCTTCAAACATCAGTTTAGCTCCAGACATTCTCAGCATGCAGAGCAGGCAAAAAATAAAACTGATTTCATAAGTTGTGTAATAAGCTTTTAGAACATCACTGTCACTCATGAAATAGACAATCTAAAATATATGTAAAATAATGAGCCAGAATACACTTTTTCTGTCATATTTCAACGTCTTAAAAAAAATAATCAAAGACACTCTGGAAAAAGCAAAGAAATCACTAGATTCATCTATAGGAACTCAAGTCCAAATTCTGCATCTGGGTGCAGGTATCCCTGGATCAAAACCACTTTTGAGCAGGAATTACACCATACACATCCCAGGAAAGAATCTGGTTCCCAGTATACGGTATCAGTGAGTTTAGCATCAAGCCCCGATAGAATCCACATGACACATGTGGAATATACAGACAAAGGCTGTTGAGCATTTACCCCCCACCACGCGTGAAGTGCTTCCATTCCAAGTGTCACAACTCAGCGAAAGGCTCCACACGAACCGCACCGCTGCACGGCTGAACCCGTAACTCCAAACCAGCGTCCTGTTCAGTAAAGATTTGTCTGCACTTTAACGTCTGACCTTCCAGCGCACGGCCAATGGAGGACTGCGCTCCTGCCAGAAGAAGGCTCATCCACTGGGGTCTTGGAGACTCCGTATGTCAGCTGTATTTTGAATGTCTAAATTCTACTTCATTCATAAAATTGTAATCTTAAGCCAAATACAATCAGATCTAAAAAGGAAACCGATTTAGCATTTAAGGTCTTTCCTTTAGGAAAGAAAAATTAAACATCTGGAATCACTTTTTTAAAAAATAATTTTGAATAAACACATACTCTCTGTCAGGAGTTAAGAGACAAAGAAAACCTCAAGAGCTCTCTGGTTCCTAACAGGTTTTGAAACTCATCAACCAACTAGTTAATTTCTAGTTAAGGTTGAGTTTATTCTTCTTTACTTTGACAAAGAAATGCCAACCCTTACCGGAAACCCTACAAAACTTCAAAGGTTGTTTGCAAGCCCTAGTTTCCCATCATTAGACTAGTTCATTTGGTATGATCCATGCAGACAAAGCCTTCATTTTGACATTCACTTCTCCTCTTTTTCAGTAAAAAACTAGACTTGTCATTCACAGTCTTTCCTCAAAGCACACCTACAGGCTGCTTACCCAGGTTTCAAAATGCCAAGCTTCTCTTTCTAAGGTTTTTTTTGAGGAAAAATGATACGAGCACAGGCGAAATGAACTGTTTAAAACATACTCCATTTCTGCAATGCCATTCAGCTACTCAGTGTTCATATATTTAACAGAATGTTTCTGATAAATAATCTGATTGATAGCCATAGATCCCTCTCTTTTTCAGGTGAGCAGTTAAGATTACAGATTGTATCTATGTTGACCACCACTTATTTTTAGTCATATTTCATAAATTGTTTATGTTTACTGCAGTAGTGTTAACACTATACAAAGTCTCTCAAAGAAAAAGTAACATTCATGTTTACAAAACTGAGCAGGTTTTTTAATATATATGTATACACACACTCACATATTCTTCATCTTTAAATACATATAAATATTTATAAATGCCAAAGTGCAAAAAAATGGTCAATTGCATCACTTTACATACATGATTTTAGTATTAGGAATAGAAGTGATTATATTGCACACCAAACTCTCTAAACTTTTAAAGCCCTGTCAAGTTACATGTGCATTTTGTTTTCCATCAACGATGAGGTTCTCTGCACTGATGACCATTTCACAATGTGGCACTGAACTTCAGTCTGCAGTCAGGAATACAGCTACATATATACAATCTGCATGCAGTGCGTGTATAGTCTATAGGTGCACACTGAAATAGCACGGGACCTTTAGCATGCGTCTATGCTGCATGCGTTTTTCTGAATATAGTCTGCGTATGTGCCTGCTTGAGATCGATGCTCATTCAGGTTATTAGCAATTTGGTTTTGAATTATACCAGAATCAAAATCCACAATATTCACAGATGTTTTATGCATGCTCCAAAGGCAGCAACATTTCGGTAAAATTTTGAAGCTCCGATGTGTGCCACAGCAAGACAACACTGAAAACAATAAGGGATGAGACAGCTTCTCCTACAACAAGGTTTACAAATAAGCTCAGTTCGTCTTGGGGTATTTTTTTTGTTCCAAGAGTACATATTCAAAGGTAACAGTACATAACACTAGGAGAAGGTCAGATACCAGTTCAAATCATGAAGATAGGGCAGTTGTGTTAAAAGACATTGAAAGACAATTTGAATCACAGAATAATTTATGTTGGAAGAGACCTGGAGGGCATCTGGTCCAACTCCCCCTTGTTCTGAGCAGCCCAAGCCCAACAGGAAAAATTCAACTCTGCGAATATCCAAAACACATTAAAAAAACAAAGTATCTTTGTTGCCTTTAGCCTTCTAAAGCAGTAACTGTTCAAATTAACATAGCACAGTGCAACTTCAGTTAAAAAAGATTAAAAAAACTTGAAAAATGCAATCCAGTAGATTACTTCCACAGCAAATCACTAATAATGTTCATTTTGAATGGGTGTCTTCAGTAATTTTAACTTGCACAAATAACAAGGATTTTAAAAATGTAAACCAGCAACCTGTGCTGTTCTGCTATATGGCAAACATATTTAAAAATGTTTTTTCCAGTGACAAAAATGCACTCAAAATATTTCATCTATACTGTCAGTATCCAAAGATAAATTAGGGTATCCACAAGTTTAAAACCAAACAACAAGGAAAAACAAAGCCCCAATATCCTGAAATTCAATTAAAGAGAATTTTAAAAATCCAAGATTCCAGATGACAATTCTGAAGTTAACATCATATAAAGTACTTTGTTAATTTTTAATTTTTTTTAAACCTTCTGGGACAGTAAAACCTTAATATTTTTACTACAGCATATTAAGCTATTAATAAGGGGTATAATTTTAATATAAAAGCAATGTCTTTTTAATATAAAAGCAATTGCTGCTTTTCAAATCGTTAAGGTCAGAAACAATGGATAATTTTCTTTTACAAGAGAAATATGTCAGTAATGCAGTGGCTGGCTGGGCCAGTATATTTTATAAGTTCTATTCATATATTCAAGTCAAGAGTATCTGGATCAACAGCTAAATATAGTGCCTTTAAGAAAGTGGTGCTTTACCTCATCTTGTACATCTCTATTACTCCTATAGTTATATAGTTTAATCTCACACGCATGCACACACACAAGATCCTTTAGCAAAATTTCACACCTGTGCACTCCAACGCGAACGTGCACAAATCCACAAGTGTGTAGTATAAAGCACTTTAAGCCCTACTCTACTGCAAATGCATTTTCTAATTCAAGGTACTGTGCAATGTAACAGGCAATGTCTGTGCTACCTGATTCAGAAAACTCTATTGATAAGCCTGTATTGAAACAGCAAATAATCTCTTCTTCTCTAACATGGTATTTAGCAAATATCTATTAAATATGTTTACCTCCCCCAGTAGAAATAGAGAGGTTTTCCTAATGCGGGAACAGAGCTAAGCTCTGTTAACTAAATACTTAATTTACAAGTGACTCAACACCACTATATTTTTATTTCTTTAATTACTTGCTAGAATGGACCCATTCAAAAATGGAAAACATTTATGCAGCTCCTTCTGAGGTCACAAGCCTCTCCAATTCATCTGTCCTTTTATCGGAGTTTGCAGTGAATGAAGAGCATCATAGATAAAATTTCTGTTTTAGTTAAAGGACCAGTATCACAAGCTAGAAAATACAGAACATTTTAGCACTCTCTCCTCTTCCAAACAGGCACTGCTTCACAATAAGTCACTCATCCTTCTTTAAGATTTAATTAAGCCACTGTATCTTCTGATAACCTGAAAAAGTTAGAGATCCATAATCATGGGGGAAATACAAAGTAACAGCTATATTCTTTAAACTTTGCATTTATCTCTTCTACAAGAAGACAGACAGCATAGTTGGAAAGTGAAGACAGAAAGGGCTCAATAAAAAAAGTGCTACGTAGAAGAATAACTGCCCTTTAAACACAGTACTGAGAGCATTCAGTGTGTGAGTTCACACTTATATACAACACTCCAGTTGTTAAATAAAGCAAACTGCCACAGTCACACGTTAAAACAAACTTCACAGAGACTATACATTTGAAAAACCTACTAATGAGCAATACTGTACTAAAATGTAAACAAACATTGTGTCACAGAAGCCTGTCAGTTGGGACTGAAGATTCATGAACTCACTTAAGAGGAGTTATTGGCAAAAAGTCTATTGTAACTGCTCACCTGAAATAGGCTGAAACAAAGAAAAGCCTAAATAGTGTCTAAACTGAAATTTTTTGTTCTATAGACATTGATTTGCTTTCATTCTACAACATTAAGCAGGCAATTTCATAACAACTGAGTAAAAAAAACAGGCATTACTTTAGCAGAACATGCAGAACATGGAGTTTTTCTACTTGGTTCCATTAACTCACAAGCAATTCAAGCCCAATGGAAGCAAGAGTTCTTTTCCAAAGTCGAGTCTGCAATCCTAGCTGATCATCGGCATCCTTCAAGGGGTCCTGTCAAGGCATCGAGGCTGCTGTCTGTATCTGAGGCCAATGTTTGCTCTGTTGACATGGATGAAATGTCATTGATAGATGATGACTGGGAAGGACTGGTGTTGCTATTCACTGCTGCATCTGTGCTAAGTAAACCAAACATAATAAAATCTGAGGCAAGACAATAATGCAGGTATAAGTAACTACCCTTCTAGGCTCTGAGCATCACTTTCCCCACAGAAATCCTTAGAAAAATGAAAAAATTAATAAACTGCAGAAAAGCAAGCACTAAGCTCCCTAGCACTCAAAGCCCAAGGCGAACATTAAGAGAAGAGATTTTTATTTTTCTCCCTCTTTGAGAAGGAAGAAAAAAAAGCAGCAATGTATAATGTGAACAGTGACTCGAGTGCCAAGCTCTGCACTATTAATTATTTTAAAACAAGGGGCCCTAATGATGTTTAGCCCGGCATGACAGAGACTCATTCCTCCAGAGCCGCAGAATAAGCGTTCAGCACAGAGGATACCTGTGCAACGGCGGATGTAACGGTGTCGATTATTTCATTTGATGACCGAGCCCTTTGGGGAGAAGGCAGCTCAGGGCGTCGGAAGTTTTCCTACAACTTTATTCCTAATAATCAAAAACTACTGCACATGTATCTCCAGAGGCAGATCAGAATCAAGAGTCCTGAACAACACAACTTTCGCCCACCTGGATTATTAAGCAGGATTTCTTCGTTCGCTAGCGCGACAGATCAGCGCTGTGTATCACAGTTACGGGAGAACTACTGAAACAATGACTAACCTGAGGGCTGATCTTTTACCACACCATTCTTGCTCCTTTCTTCCCAATCCATTACTTCTTTGTATATTAATTCTTACGAGAGAAGGGTGGGAAGAATGAAAGAAGAGATAGAAAAAACACTGTAAGATCACAGAAGATTTGTATACAATTTATGTATGAGCAAAGGTACAATGACATGGTTGAAGGTCAGTATGGAAGTACAACAGTATAGGTATTTATTTTCCTTTTTTTTAAAGGCTTACGGCAATAATTGGAGAATTCTAAGGATTTTCGTTATGCATCACAGAAAGACACCAAGGACGTACCAAAATCAATGTATTTGATAAATAGAATAGCTGTCCATTTGAAAATAACAACCATCCCAGCCCAAAACTTTATACATACCTACAATGCACTAATATTAAATGTTAAAAAAAAACCCTCCAAATGGATTTGGATTTAAAAAAAACATGACAACCCCCATGAAAATTTTACTTTGATAACAAAACCATATACAAACGTCTTTAAAAATTAAGAACAATCTACGTGGATATATTGAGGAAAGTCTGGAAATTCTGAAGTACGTCAAAAAAAATTAAAATATTACATGAAAGTCCTCATTTACTAGTCAAGGACAATTTAGGATACAGACACCTGAACAACACCAACAAAATTAGAGCTGTAACTTTAAAGAACCATCCATTATTCTTTTTGAAATGTCTGTAGCATGGTGCACACAAGCTGGCTTACCTCAGCCCCTTCTACAGCAAAAGGATTATTACTACTGCAGAGCATCAGGTACACTAAGTTAGACTTTCAGTTAATTCACAGTAGTTTGTGTATGTACTCACATACACCATGTAACTAAGCAATGTAACTAAGAGTAACAATATTTAAATAGATTAAGACCTCTTTAATATTGAGTAACAACACTTATAAATGGATTCAATCAGATTGAACTGATCCATTTTAATTTTCCACCTTGCATTAACCCAAAATAATTTGAAGTGTACCTGTGCAGACATGTCCTAAAGAAAATATATATAAACCAGAATCAATACCTGAAATTATAAAGCTATTTTACAAAAACAAGGGACTTGCAAACAACTAAGCAATTATGTCTATCACCCTTGGTCCTCTGATGGTAGAGGTGTAAAATCTGAACTGCCTCATCACTTAATGTTTTTGACTAGAACTGTAAGGTGTAATTGGTTTCAATATTACAAGGCTGTTTATTCTTTTCTATAAGTCAACAGTTTAATCTATTTGGTCAATAAATAAGTAATGAGGAGAGGAAGACAAAAAAAACCCACACCAAAAAAACTTTTCTCCTATCTAAGACCTCTAGAACAAATTAATTAGTAAATATTTTCAGGAGATATGGCTTAAATAATGCACATGAAAAGAGAAACATGTTTCTCCTTCAGAGAATTTTCTATTAAGAAAAAGCCCACTGAGAATACAAACACTCAACAACAACAAAACGCTCAGGAAAAAAAAATCAGAACTGCAGCATTTTGTTGACTAGACTTCAGAATGTTACGTGTGTGTATGTACATATCTGCATGTGTGTATATACATATTCACTCCAAACAGAACGTTTTTCCATTATTGACGACTTCATTATTGCCACAGGCAGTACTACATAATTGGAATAGTGGGTTCCAGTCAGTTACACAATCCAGCACACGTGTACTGCGAGCCACACAATAATAATACAAGTTATTACAAGAAACATCATTTGCCATGCTCACTTTTTACCTTTCCATTCTTCAATTGCATGTTCTCTTTCTTCCAATTGTGCATCATAGATTTGAGGTGGAGGCTACAAAGAAAAGAAAGTCTATAGCATATCTACTACATCACGTTAACACAACCAATCGTAACTGAAAGACCTAAAAATTGAAATTTTTTAGCATTTTGCTACCTTCATCTTTGCCAGCCTATTCCCTATACCTCAGACACATTCAGTTTAGAACTCCAGAATTTGCTTTTAAGTCCTGCCTCCCACTGGACTGCTGTCTAAAAGCATCGACTAAAATTAAACTCATTGTAAGGCTTTATGGTGCCTCAGAGCAAGTCCCCTTTACAAAAAGTCCGAGGTTACCACCACACAGGCAACTCTTTCTGTAAAGCAGCAGGAACTATCGACAACCACTTTCAAAATTATATCAACTCCACTCCAGCAGCTGTTCTTCAGGTGATTCTGTCACTAATGTTGATCTGAACATTTTATGTGTGACTTTGCTAGCCAAAGAACGAGTTCAAAGCAGGCTCTTGACTGAAACTAAAGTCATTCTTTAAAGTTATTAAACTGTATCTTAAAATTTATTTTAAATGCAAACTTACTGCTTCTGCTTCAGCTGGATCATACCAGACAGTAATATAAGGATGACGTAAGGCTTCATCTACAGAAATTCTCTTGTCTGGATCTACTACAAGCATTTTTGATAATAAATCTCTAGCTTGGCTGGCTAGAAAGTAAAAAATGAAAAGAACACACGTGTAAGAGAGCTGTAGAGTTTGATGTCTGACACAGAAAATAAATACTAGGAATACAGGACACACTGTAACAGATTTCACTGTGAAAACAGGCCCACAAATCCAAGCTTTCCTATACAGCTACAGTGGTTTTTTTTGTTTGTTTTTTTTAGAAGTGAGGTCCCACTCCCTTATTGCGAATGTTATTTTGCTCTTATCCAAAACAAACCCTGCAGCTGACACCAACCAACCTCAATTTTGAACAGTGCTGCTGCTACGCGGGTCACAGATGCTTTGGCATTAACTACTGAACATTAAACACACTAAACGTTTTTAATAAGCTTTTAAAAATACATCTTGCTACAATGGCAATCTACTTTCTGTAATATCAAATTAGTTTCTTTTAAAGGTGTTACTGCACAATAACTGGCTACCCACTGTTGCAGTGGGCACTTCACTGGCATTTCTTTTTTATCTGAACAATCACTGTAATAAACAGTGTCATGTTAAAAAAAAAAAATTTGACCATCTAGAGAATATAATAAATTCATTTTTTTCATTTTATCAGTAATTATCTAAAGTCAAAGTATAGCCAAAATGAATTATATGCACACATCAACTAGAAAAAGAGAATTACAAATAACCACTATAACAAGAATTACTTTCAGAGAATATTTAAACAGTAGACATTATTTAATAGATTAGAATTAAGAGAATTAAACAGAATACTCGGCACAGGGCAGTTTGCATTTAATGACTAAGTTCTGCATTTAATGACTAAGATTTCAGGACATGTCATAAATGCAAGACAGACTGTATGCAGCTTCTAATGTTGACACCTATTGCAATAAACATTTTATATTAGCTTTTTTCATTAAATGTATTGTGGACATGTTAAATTAACACCTCCAAAACCAGAGAAAAAGTGTGCCTTACTTTTTAATTTGTCACGATCAGATTCAGATGGAAATATCCAGTCTGGGAAGAGCTCTTCAAATTTAATACCGGGATATTTTGGCCTGTTTTCTACATAATTCCTCACTGTAGGCTGCAGTTTCTTCATGAAGTCTGCTGATGGTGTTCCTAATTGTTCAATAACTTTATTCCATTGATCAATATCTGCACCATATCTTTAGGAAAATCAGCTGAAGAATTTGAAGTCTGCACTATACAAAAAAATCACTTACAGAGATCTGAAAAGTTAATGAAAACTTCAACAAAGGACACAAATATGCAGTTCACTAGCATCAAGAGTATTCTGAGCTGCCATGCAAAAAGCTATATTGACATAAGATTCAGATTTTCTAATCTTAAGGACATGCCAGAAGTGCTGCACAATGCATTATGCTTAAGCATATTTTGTTAATTATTATCTATTGCAAGCAATTGTATTGAAAGCAATACTTTTTCAGAGTCCAAAAGCTCTATTTGGCAATTTTATCTATAGCAAAACAACTATACGGACAGAAAAGAAAGGTGGCTGTTGAGTCTTTTGAAGTACAACGTAATACCATCAACATGACAGACTGCTGAAGGTAGGGAAAAATACATGAAAAAAACCTAAAGCACAAACACATTCTGTTCAAAGTAAGGAATTTTGTGCCTGCCTCCTAAGGAAACTAGGCTTTGGGTTGTAGTGGATTTTTGGGGGGTAGGTTAGTTGGTTTTTTGTGGGGGTTTTTTTGTTTGTTTTGCTTTGGGGTTTCTTGTTGTTTGGGTTTGGCTGTTTCTTATTTTTTAATTTTCAACTTCAGAAAAGGTTCAAAGGAGTTCTGAACAGTGAATCCAGATGGCTGCAGGTTTTCAGCAGGTTCTTTTGTTTAAACGTATCAACTACAGCAATACTCAAAGACTGCTCTGTTCTTAAATGCAGAATTTAAATATTTTATAGAAATTGCATTTACAAGCCACAAGTTGAAATTGTGCCTTGTGTTTCCTCTGGAACACCCCTTCTCTCTCTCTCTCTCAAGTGAAGGCCTTTCCCCTAGACATGGTGACACTCATTAGAGATACCAGAGTCTGCTCTGAACGAGCCCAGTTGGGATAACAAAGCTCATCTGTCACAGCAAGAAGACACTGCATTAGCATTCCTGATTTTTAAGCTTCCTCAGATTTACACTTTACAGTCTTTCTGATAAAAAGAACGTGCAATTCCAGCAGTCTAACCACGGACCTTGCAAACATTCATAGCGAAACTCATCATCTAGCACTTCAACCTGTCTGTTTTCATAGACAGACGTCGTAACAAAACAAGTTTGCTGCACTCTGAATTAAGATGTATTTTAAAAAAACTGAGATGCTTTTATTTCAGTTAGTGTGCCAAGAATACAACTAGAAATATATGCATAGTCACTGCTTCATGCTAAGACTTTAAACTTCTGATACAAAGATTGAAAATTGTATTTGCTTATTGAATACATTCCAATGGAAAAAACTATATTAAAATCAAAATTAAGAAGTCAATATTGTTAACTCTCATGCTAAAACAAAGCACATACAAAGAAATTTTAACATACATCAGGAAATTCTGTGCCTAGCTGAAAAATTGCTTTCTGAGAGGTCTCCACCAATCTAGATTCAAGAAGATGCTTTTTCTTTGAGTAACAGCAGACTGGTTAGTCAGCTAATCAAATTGCAGTCCAGTCTGTTGTGGTCTCAGTGCACGGGGGGAGCTCAGAAAAAAGACCTATCCCACTTTAGTAATAAAACCTGGAAAAAAGTAGTCTCTCAGTTGAATTGCTCCGAAGTGCTTTACAAATAGCGAAAATCGGGAAAAAAAAAAAATCCCCAATATAAGGTTGGACTTGAAATGAGCTAAGCCTGTTATCAGAAACAAATAGGAAAAATACCCCTTTAATCTCAGCATAAAGCATGCAGAGCATGCGATCTGAATAACCTTGCAACCTACAGACAAGACTACCCTTCCTGTTCTAGTGACCTCAAGGCCAAAAGTAACCCGAAAAGTTTAGTCCATACCAAGTACGCGTGCCTACTTTTGGAGACTCTGGAAGAAGAAAAGTTGAAAGCAGAATCCTTAGTACAACCACCACAGCACATGATTTCTCCTAGGAAAGCGTGAATATACCCTCATGCTTTCTGCACCAGTCAGGCAGTTAGCTTCCTTCACCACCTGGGCAGAAAGAGCATAAAGCCACCCCACTCTGGTGCTGCTCGGCTTTCCATTATTTCATCTTGGGTATCTATGTTGCCTGGTTTTTCTACATTTCTCCTTTCCAGTGCAACAGCAACTGCCAGTAACTCAGGCCAGCAACTGCAAGAGCCCTGTTCACCCTCCACAGCACCTGTCAGGAGCAGGCTCAGTGCATCCACTGCCCTGGCCACGGGGAGCATCTCCTTCCACCCAGAGATATCATTCTGCTTCCACTGCTGCAAGCATCCCGGCAGTCCCTGTCGACCTTAGGGGAACATACAAACTGTTGAGGCTAAGAGTAGGTTTTCTTTTAGTTAGTCAAAGGAACATCGTTAGGCAACATGCTGAACTTGGTTCTCTGCTCTAAATCCCCAAATAAAAAGATATTTTCAAGTTTAAGTCAATTAAAAAAAACAACAACAAAAAAAAATTGAAAGCTTTATGGCCATGCACACCAGCGTCCCTCAAACCACACTGTCAAAACAATCCTGCAACTGAAGGTAAAAAAACCCCACGGCCATCTGACCAAAGCAGTTACCACTCAGGAAAAGTCTGAACAACATGAACACTTATCAGTATTTCACATTAAGGGGAACTGAAAGTCTTACAAGAGCAAAAAAGTCCTGTAAGCACAGCTGTGCGCTTTGATAAGATATCGGGGGAAGAGACTCCTTGAAACAGACTGGTGGAGCTTCAGTGACCTCTGGAGAACCACAAACGGTAACGTGCATATTCAACAAGTATGGACAAAATTTCCTTGATTTATTCATGAATAAATCAAAATAGCCCATGCTAACATGCAGGTGAAAGACACATAACATACACGAAGAATTGTGTTAGGTTGGTCTGAAGGCTTCAAAAGGTAAAACAATAAGTGTACAAAGGAAGAAAGGTGGAAAACAAAAAGTCTTATTTAACTATTAATCATTTGTACTAGTAAATAATGCATGATCAACTGCTGAAAATTAGTGTCATGAAATTTAGCACTAAAATTTCAAGTCCTCCTCTAAGATACATAGGTATATATGAAAAGATTCTGCGAACGCTACTTCGTATGTTTTGTGCTGGACTCAACTTTTACTTGCTGACAAGCAAAAACATCATACTTCCTTCAGAATCTCGGACCACAAGTAGCTATGGCTTCTTATGCCCTACAGCCATACCTGGCAACTGTGGTTTAACTACGTCGCCTGGGTTCTGTTTATTTACTGATCAATCTGAATCTCTAGGCTTACAACACTACTTGGAGAGAGTTTATATATAAAGGATGAAATTGGTTTTGCTCCAATATTTATAACTGGAGCTTGATAATGAGTCACACTTTAAATTTTGTTTCCAGGGAAGTACTGTGAAACATCAAAATCTTCAAAGAATATTTACTTTATTAAATTAAATGATCACTTCCGTTCCCTTAATACAGTGTAAAGACTCATTTGTGATCCAGTGACGTATTATCAAGATTTCCACTCTCCAAGGCATGAAAATATATATAGGGGGTTTGTTTAATACAGTAAAGTCTCCCACAATTATTATTGTACAAGAAACCACAATTTTGTGAAGACAAATCTGGGCCAAAAATATTGGAGGGAGGAATGGAGGAATAACAATCTTATAGAAAAAGTAAATAAAATTTTCATAGGATGAAGAAAACTCCAAGAAGTTTTTCTTTTCCTAATAAATAATAATAAAGAAAGAGTTCTCATGCTGTGCGCTTGTAATTAGGACACTGCTGCCCAGCAAGTGCTAATAAGGAAGAAAAAAAACAATCTGACTGAAACTCAAAAAATTGTACAGTAAAAAATAAGTCTACTGTTCAAACAAATACTAAGCAAAATCCATGCACACTGAAAAAGGAACTTTGTAGGCTTTTGCTTATAACACTTACCAACAAAGAACAAGAGTAAGAAAGTGTACTTATTGCTATTTTTCTTTAAACCTAACAGTATCCTTTTTTAAGCTACAAAAGCTGAAGCTCTTAATATGAATTCTATGGATTCAACCAGTACAAATTACTTCAAATACAGTCTACTAAGAAAATAAAATGAAAAACTCAACAATTTGGTTAATGACACTAATTTCAAATAGTACAGTAGATCTATTAAAACATATTATTGAAAATATTGCTTATGCTTTTATACTTATACAGATCAAAGGAATTGTGTTTCTGTTGGAAGTGGCATGGGATTCAAGGATGACTAGGGAAGGATACGATCAGTGCCTTGGAATATCACACAACCTTTCACCAATTCTCCCATGATGCACCCAACTGACCAGATATCAACTGAAAGTAAAAAATGAAATGATCATATCATGAAGTTATCATGAACAAAAGTGAGGAAACAAACAAAAACATCTAGCATCTACAGTAAGACACAACAATGTGGAAAACCAAACTGCTAACATGAATTTTCAATCATATCCACACCAACTGACTATTGCGAAATTTTGTTATTAGCATTTTGTAAAATATAATCAGTGTTTACATTTCTGAAACGACCGTGAAGGATACAATCTCTTCCTGGGAACAGGACTTTATGGAGGACCATTTCTGCCATAATGCACCCAACAGACCAGATATCCACTATCATATGTTAGGTGCAACAAGGACAAAAGATTAAAGAGGTTTTTTTAAATACCACAATTATTTATTTGTAAGCTCACACTGTATTCCTACAGTCCTGCAGATAAATTATTTTCTGTCCCATCCAGAAAAGCCTCTACTAAAGTTCTGATCCACATCAGCGCTTGCTCTATAACAAGCTGCCTTGTGCATTCATAAAAGTTTTTTTTGCACGATCAGTGGCCCAGCAAGGTCCTGTGAGTCCCTTGTATTACACAAAGTCACATGTATACAAAAAGCATGGTATGGCCAAGGCCCTGTGATAAAGCAAAAAGATGTACCAGCATAGCAGCCCAGAGGAGGCAGTGTATTACTCCACAGCTAGTAAAAATCCTCAGGTAAAACCCCCAATAACGCAGGTCAAGGACAATTTCCTAGCCAGCAATTTTGCTGGCTGAACATTCAATCTATTATTAGCTGTGTTGTTTTTAATAATTAACACCCAGTCTCTTGGAGTGCTATGCAGACTTAAGAGAGTATAACACAGGGTTTACCACAGGGATCTGAAACAGATTTTAATAACCCTAGACGCAAAAGAGGACAGACTGTCGAAAGAAGATGCTTCAGAACAAAATCACATTCCTAAAAGGGTTTAGTATTTATATATTAATGGTTGCTATTTTTTTAATACTATCCACCATAAATGTCTCAACAGTTTTTTGCAGAATAAAAAAATGGCAGCAAGACAACAGGACAAAACATGAAAAGATATTACAACAGCAGGGGAGAGGGAGGGGTACATATTAACTGGAGATAGGCATACAGAGCAGAAAACTGTTACCTTCTCCAAAATTATTACAGTGTAATCTTTGTCATTTCCAATACCACTATTAACGTACTTTAAGAACAGACATGGCAAGGGGAAACCAGCCCTTGCACTGCCCTCCCCTTTTTTATGATCTGAGACACATACGCTTCAGACCAAAGATGTAAAGTGTTACTCCAGCAACTTACCGTTCTCTTTATATCCCATTCCGAGGATAACCTCTGGTGCTCTGTAATATCGTGTTACTACATATGGAGTCATCATAAAGTTGGTGCACGCTGTTCTTGCCAGTCCAAAATCAAGGATTTTGAGTGTACAATCTGATTTTACTACTATGTTGCTGGGTTTCAAATCCTAGCAAGAAATTACTTCAGTTAAGGAAGAGTCACCACACTGAATAAAACATTCCAGTTCATGCTCTGATGTATCTGCTTATTTATACACAGACTGGAGACAAGTTAAATTCTGCACAGCCAAGTACTCAAAAAATTCAGGGAAAAGCAGAATCAAAATTGTCTGCAGTCTTCATTTACCCTGTTGTGCACTGACACCATAGTCAGTTATATAATGGTCTGTATATATACACAATGTGTACATACATCTGCTTCCTTTAACACAGTAATTAAGTGGACCTATTTTGTATCTGAATAGTTGCAAATAGTTGAAAAAGGAGACTATGTTTCAAGTCCTGTCATTATTAGGGCACAAATCCTAAAGACAACATCATGAATTAGTTGGGGATCTGTAGGAAAAGGGAGTGTCCCAACAGAGAAAGCATTAACAAGTGTATTTGTTAACGACAGATTAGCCACCTGCATTCTAGCGACTGGCAAATTACACAGCAAGAATTGGGATGTAGTAAAGCCACAAAGTTACCCAGTGAGCAAGGACAAAATATACTTTAGGAGAAAAAATACTTTATGAGACAGGCCTCATGGGGGTAGTTGTTATTGCACCCAAAGGAATACACAGTTAGGGAAAACTAGAATAACTGGGTTTTATTCACAAAGTAGCAGAAGTAGACGAAGTACACATGTATTAGTACATTTAATTCTGCTCAAGGTTTGATTTCATTTCAACCACATGAACCATGCTGTCAGGTACAGAACTTCCTCTTCTTAAAAGACATGGGGACATGCAAATAGTTCACACGGGTTTGCAAGTTTTAGGAAGGCAACAAATCTTCTGCAGAATGTGACTGAATTTACTATCAGCTAGTTTGGAGTTTCTAATCCTCTACTCAGACTTTTTTTCTTGAAACAATGGAATAATTATTTGCAGTAGTTGATAGTGAAATTTGTTGTTATCTCATCTTACTATAATGCTGGGCCACGTGAAGGATAACAGATTTGAATATTCATCACATCGTAACAGAGTGGGAGTCATGTACATTATCTCAAGCTCTGTTTGGTCATAGACTCCAAGTAATTCCTAGATGTAATTCCTACTATTTCACTCCTGAACCATCCCAGCTCTGTTCCTTTCCTAGCCTGGTTTCTTTTCAAAACCAAGTCTCTCAACCTAATCAAGAGTTGCCACTCCAGAAAGACAATTTTGTTTAGCTCCCAAACTAACCTAACACTTGTCACTTCAGCCTCTCCATTCAAACGAACTTCACGCCTCTGTTCAGCTGTTCACAGTGCGGCTCCTCTTACTGCCCATTTTCTTGTTCAACCAGTATCTGCCTGGTTGCTCTCTTAGCACCTAGGAGCTCAAGGTTCTCAGCTGATGTTGTGTCTCCCATTTAGCTCCAAATCACAGTCAACATGTCAGGTGGAGTTCAACTGGAGCTCCAGCCCTCCCTGCTTCAGCCTCTTACACACCTCATTCCGTAATTTTAGGAATGCCCAGTACCAAGACTATCTGGATACGCTTAACTATACGTAACTTCCTTGCCAATCCCACAGGATTTTCATGGTAGGTTTTTTCCAGCATAGTAAAGAAGTACATCTGTTTTAGTTTATACAGCTTCTCAATTCTGTTTATGGATTGAACATAAACAAAAAAAAAAGCACATTAAACTAGAACTGGCAAGTGTGTCCAGGAATCAGGGGAAGAAAATGAAAGGAACAGAAAACAAGCAGAACCGTCAGACAGACTAGTCATGAAATAAAATAAATAAATAAATAAGAGCAGTAGCAAAACAACAGAAGCAGAGAGCTATATGGAGTGTGCACAGGCCTTTGAAATTCTGATCATTTACAAACTTTTCCAAATCACAGAATGGTTGAAGTTGGAAGCAACCTCTGGAGATTATCTAGTTCAACCCCCATGCTCAAGCAGGGCCACCTACAGCCAGTTGCCCAGGACCATGTCCAGACAGCTGCTGAATATCTCCAAGGATAGAGATACTTCAGAGGTAAATATTACATTTTAAAGATTCATTCAAATTTAGTAGTTTGAAAGGTTCACAGATATTCATGTTTTATCTTTTAACCAGTTAAGCACTAGTTCAGCCCACAGAGCTAACCCAATTTAAGATCTATTTAAAATACAGTCTTTTATCTTTGAACTAGAAGCAATCTTCAAGTTTAACAATATTCTTATGAATGAATGAAATACAAACTTACGAAATAACAACCCCTGCCTTCCTCCCAGTTTCCTAATAGCATCCATGTTGATAAAGAGTATTGTTAATGATCCAATACTACCTACTCTGTGGATGATACCAGCTGAGTGGAGATGTTTGATACCACATAGCATTTGGTAAAGAAGATAAGACATTCTTTCATGATCCAATTCCATATGAATAACCTGGCACAAATTCGCATCCATCAGCTCCATAACCAAATATCTACAGCACAAGAAAGAAAGCATTAAGAAAACTCGAGCCTTGCTTTTCATTTCAAGTTTAAGCTTAGCACAAGAGATGTTTAACAGAAGTCAACTATCTGGCAAATGTAAGTGTCAAAAAACTTATAATTTAAAAAAATCATGTCTGACCACAGTTTCAAAATTAAATTATTATCTATACAAATAGTCCAATGATTAAAAATTAACAGTGTTCAACAGTCCATTCCAAGAGATCCGAATCCCACTAGTTTCAAGTTAAAATATCATCTGCTTACCCCCTTCAGACACACACTCCCCCATCCACCCAAGAAGCCCATTGACAAACCAAAACTGCATATTCACTGGAACCTATTGGGATACTCCACCAATTAAATAACCATGAATCCTTCCTAGACCAATTGACATAGCTGGCATAAAAAAAGAAAATATTCCATTCTTAACTGAGGCCAAAAATACTGTTGTGCTGATGTGACTGGTATCGCAAAAAATGGTATCAGGTTATCCAGACCAAGGGATCACCCTGAGGTGACCCATTTAGCTGAAGGACAATGCACACAGACCAGATGCACATACAATCAGCAAAGTATGGCAGACAGATGAATAAAAGGTAAATAACCTTTTTTCTTTTATTATTATTTCTCATGTCCACCCTATGCATCCAGTGAAACAACTTTCTTGGTCTTTCTTAAAGAAATGTAGAAATAAAGACTTATCAAAGTCTAAATTCAGCTTTTAGCTACCCTCTGTTTTCAAAGTGTGAAGGACACTGGAAATACAGCTCTGGGCTTAGGCTAGTATTTGTCAGAAAAATTAAAACACAAATCTAATACTTACACATCCTGAAATTCTTCTAGTGACTTCTGTGGTGTAAATACATTTAATAAACTAATTATCTATAAAATAAAAATAAACATTAGAAGAAACTTCAGCTTTAGTTCACATAAAAATCCACTACTGCAGAAGTTACTATTCAAAAATCAAACACACACTGTTGCTATACACAATTTGAATGTTACTTGGCTTCACTTAATTCATATACGCTGAAAAACTGCGAATTCAGAAATAGTTGAAAACTGCAGCACATGTGCCAAAGCAACTAAGACAGGATAAACCCACATTTTTCTTTCTAAAGTTACACAACACCTTCAATCTCCTTCCCCAGTGCCTAAAACATATCCCCTTTTTCCCCCCATAAATAATAATCTCTTATTTTAAATCACATATTGTGCAAGGAATTTTAACCAAGGCTGTCCAACAAGACATACACAGATACGCCCCACGCCACCCCACTAAACTTGAGACTATGATGTACTATTTCTAGAAGAACTACTAAGATTACTGTACTGCCACTCTTCATAACCACCTTGTTTTTATGCTGCTACTTTCTACCAAAAGCTTACTTAAAAGTCAATCCTAAAAGACTAATCGACTCCAGGAAGTTTGAGACCTGAGTGCACAACTTCAACGAACAGCAATGTTTCTAGTTCATGTTAGTATCAGAACATGACAGTCACATAAACCTTATATTCTTGACCACTGAAGTACTGACATTAAAGCTTGTTATTTTAGAAGGTTCAAAGGTTTTAAAATATTTATGCATTGCCCATAGTATTTCACTTCTGCTTACCAATAAATTGTTAGGTAGTGCTGCACCCTGCAAATCCCACCAGTTCAACATTGTATTTAATAAAAATCTTGCCTAAACTCAGATTTAATGACAGTGCAGTTACAAGAGCCAAACCCACAAACAAACCCACTGCCAAACAGGCTTCGCTACAGCACGACTTGAAACGGCAAAAGCGATACAGCAAGGCTAGCTCTATAAAGCTGACATTAGGCTAAACGTACACCAACAACACAGCAAATCCCGCCTCCTTATGGCACTTTGTGCTCCAAACAGCTCACCCAAGAGCTCACCCATACCCACGAACTACGTTACCCATAGCGAATCTTTCCAGTATTTCTCCCGCTATTTTTCCATTACTTTGGTTACTAACAGCAAGAGAGCAAATCCTGAGCTTTTTAGGCAACTTACAGTAATGAATGAGAGAAACATAAAGTTGAACTTACATTTTTGTGATTAACACATTTTAAAAGAACAAGCTCTCTGTAAGCTCTTTTTGCGTGGGTTTGATTCTGAAAAGGACGACTCAGCTTCTTTACAGCAACATTTATTCCAAGGACTGTATCAAATGCAGCACTAAAAGTTTTCAAAGACAAACAACTTAAGTTGAAGTCTGTTTAAGGGAAAGGAGGGGGCAAAAGGGAGATGGGAGTGAGGAAGAAAATCAAGATTTGAGACAAAGCATATCCACTAACCTGTTTATACTAACTTCACCTCATTTTCATTTAGAAAACAAACATCCTTTAAAATCTACACATCTTTTAATAAATACAAATAGGTTAAACAGAAGCCACTGACACTCATCAGAAGCCTTCCTGTCCTCCTTTCCCTCTTAAGAATGAATCTGCTGACTCCAGACTCACATTCAAAATTGCAAGATCTAAAAATATTTTAAGCTTATTTGAAATCAAGAAGCATTTCAGTTGCCTAGTCTGTATATTTGGAGTATTTTTTTGGACACTGTTGCTGCCCGACAAGCATTTAGTATTTGCAACAGAAATTTCTCTTTGCTAAAGGAGAGTCGCAACCATGTCTTCGTGATCCATTCTGCAGGTATCAATACTCTCCTGTATGTAGATAGTTTACAATTACAAACAGTTGTAGTGCCTAGCAGAAAATTACATTAATTATCTGGTTTTGGAAAAAAAAAAAAAAAAAAAGGAGAAATATGGAAAACTCAGATTGCAGCGAGCAATACAAGAGTTCAAAAGTGAACATGACCATTAATTTTATCTTGTTTTTCAGTTGCATTTGTTTTTCCTTCTGCAGTTTGAGGTACAGGTGTAAACTTACTTTAATAGCTGTAAGAATATAAAGCTAAGTTATTTGTATACCCAGAACAAGGCTAAAGTGGGAATATTATTCATGACTAACACACAGACTATTCAGCAAAATATACGTGAATTCATACCACAAACTACTCATGAGTTCCAATCCTTAAATAGTTCCAATTTTAAATAAGGTTTCCCACATTACCCTGTTTCCATCTAACGTTACTTTCATGGGGTAGAAAAGAGTTTTCATCCACGTACACTTCCCAAGCATATTTAAGCTCTTTCTGAGCTCCTTCACCATCTTGTCAAGATATGTACAATACCAGACGTAAAAGGACCATCACACTGTAGCACTCTTACAAACCATACAGCTCCTGTGTGATAACAATAATACTCAAATTATATGAAGTTTCCCACCATAAGTCACTGCTTTCCCTCCTGGAAAAAGCAATACCACCACAAAGCAGGGCCCACTCGTGAGATGATGTGTTTTCTTGGAGGCGTGTCCCAAACTGAATCCATGTGCCATCTGCACTAAAGGCTTGCTAGCATCTACTTCAGCTTAGTTCTGTGAAGTATGCAAGTCACTAGTCAATGATACGGTCAGTCTCAGATATAAAGCCTTTATGTCTGTGCAAAATAAAACACAACATGGGAGGAAAGCAACTGGCCAGACAACTAGAGAAATTGTTCTCCCAAATACAAAGGCACTGATATTTCAGTATTCACCTCACCTAGAAGATGTTATATGTAAATTTAAAAGTTTTCCATATGCTAATGAGTTTACACCTGGGAATTAGTACAAAATCAATAACCAGAGGGGTCTACATGAATTAGCTGTTTATGTCAACCATAGGTCAGCAGTGGACAAAGGAACAATTTCAGAGGAAGTGTCCCTTTGTGATCTGACAAACCATATAACCCCTATTACCAGTAAGACCACACTTCTAAATACCACGTAATTTTATGTAAACAAAGAAAAACAGTCATGGATGCAATTGGTGTTGTATTTCTTTCCCCACCCCTGCTCATTCAAATTCAAAAGAGACTTTTTTTATCAGGGCAACTGTTTCAGGCATAGATTTGAAAAAAAGCAGATTTGCCAAAGTCTACCCAGTTATCACCTCTGCTACTAACAGAATGTCTACAAATTGTTTCAGCATTTGACCTCATGGAAGGATCTCAAATGTCTGCCTCCCCGTATAGCAGCGCTTACAGTTTGATCACAGTGAACTGCAGTAGGCCCTGCACTGCACTTGTGCTTTGCATCTTGAGCAGATATTTAATATTAAGAGTAGTGATGCCATATACATGATGAAATTATTAACAAAACATTAAGACCTAAATAATAGTAGGACATCACACTTTGTTTCTGTAGGCAAATGACCTTTGCTTTGACCTGCAATATGCTACTACTATGGACTCTTGCTCTGCCAATTCCACTTCACCAACTCTTTAAATCCCTACTATCTAAACAGGAGCTTGCAAATAGTAACAAACTTATCCCGACTGTTTCTTCAAAAGCAACTCTAAGTAAAGTTACCAACTCAGTCAAAGCTGTGCTATTTATAAGATCATGGTTTTGCTGCATTGCCGGACAAAAGAAATTTGCTGGGACAGAAAAATCCGATTCACTAGAAAATTTCAGGAAACCAAGGACAAGAGAGGAAGAAAGATGTCAGGAAGTCAAAGACAAAAATTATTTCAATAGAATAATTTTGTGCAAGTGATTATTCAGTCCTGCATTATAACACTTCAAATGCATTAATACCTAGGAACAAAGAAGTGCGGAACGTCATGTACAAAACTGTACTTTGTATATATAATACAAATGGTATATCCAATTTCTCTCCTAGCCTGTTTGCTGTGTGAGCTAGAAATACCCTCTACATAACAGAGTTACTTTTTCATCTTCCTAAAGGTTTCATTTATTGCTTTTCCCAAGTATGCATTTTTAAAAACACTTATTTGCCTAAATTTTAATATCAAAGAAAAAAGCAGAAGCAATACCCATGGAAAGGCCCACTAAAATTTTGAGGACAAAAAAAAAAAAAAAGAAGAGGGCAAAATTCAGACCTGTTCTAGCTGAAGTGACATGTGGTATTAAAAAAATCTCATCAAAAAATAAAATCTATACACAAAACTCCAGAAATACTTTTCTTAATTTTTATGTTGAACACCGGACAATAAAAGAAAAGCATCACATCTGTGTATCACACTAATGACTTGACAATTTTTCCAGCCGAACATGACAGGACAGCACGCATCTTACACTGAATTTTCTGCATTTCACATCCTAGTATTTTCTATCTTTCCTTTGTGTACTGTAAGGAATTTTAGAAGAAATTAAGAACTTGCAACTTCTTCAACTTGGACATAATTTTCAGATGTTTCACATGAAGATTGAAATTTATGCAATTTTTCACTCTGTTGTTCCATAAATCAAGTATTCTCAAAACAAGTCAATAAATCAGAACATCCCTTCTTCCTGCCAAAACACTGACCTCAACACTACTCTAATTTCATTTTGAAGCAGACATCTAGTTTAAGACATATAGTTTAGAAATGCACTACTTGTGATGGGAGAAAGAACACTTACGACCACCCCAAATTCCTGCATGCTAACTAGAACTAGCACAACTTTAAGAATATTTATACCTGGAAAATGTTAGCACTATACTAAATCTTACCTAAACACTAATAACCAAGTTCTGGTATGCCTATTCACTCATCACTCGACCCACTAAAGAAGAATGAAATATGGTGTTCTCCTTCTGCTTATTTTTCACCTACTAGCAGGGCAATAGGGGTATCTAAATCATTTAAAAATAAAGGCATGTTGCCACAAAAACGTGCTCTTTTCCTATAACTTTTTACAGTTATGAAAAGGCCATAAAGACATGGGCAGGTGCTGTATAAGGAGTTGCCCACGGTATATGAGTCACCACACTTATTCTACTGAATTTACAGATGAAGAGAAAATGCAGACTGGATTTAAAGCATGAACAGCCCACCATGTGTCGTGATTAAGTCTAATATTAGAGAGCTCCTGAGCATATCTGTTTGCTCCCCTGTGTACGGAATTGTAAAAACGCATCAATAAACATTTCTGCTGTTACCAAGTAAGTTTTGCCCAACAAAATACGGGCTGGCACTAAGTTGTGTAGAATGGACTGCTGCAGTCTAAAAAACATTTGAAAGTGTTTACCTTTAGCTGGCCCCGAGGCGTGGTGCCATACAAGAGACTAAGGTTCAGGATCAGACTAAGACTCTCACGTCCTGGGCCAGTGGAGGCTGGACACATAGCTGAGGTGGCACACCAAGGAAGAGCCGGCCAGCCCAACCCCTCACACAGCATCCCTTTCTGGTTAATCCATGGAGTGACAATGACACTGATTTGCCCCATCCTGCCAGTTAATGGCAAGGCACTGCATTGATGGCTCCTAGAAATGGACAGGAGTGATCGGGAATAAAAGGGGGGGAAGAAAGGGGGCCATGATGAAGAAACGAGTAAAACCCAGAATCTCTCACCATCGCATCATCATACCTCACACTGCAATATCATAACTACACGGGGAATGTGAGGACTAGAAACAGAAATAAAGCGGCTCATGAGAAGGAAATTTGTTGACCATTTTAATTTATGCAGTTATCCAAATATTAATTTTCCCCTAAAAACAACCAAACCAAAAACAAGTTGCACATGAACTACAGCAAGCAGGTGGTTTAGAACTTATTTAGTCCATAACCCTGTAACAAGAGACAGAAATTATCATCAGTATTTTAGATTCTGACAGCTCTATCAGTAATACGTCCAAATTTTGGTTTACACTTACAGCTTTTTATAGTTAAATAAAGTATTTGTTACTCACCAAACAATGCCCTGTGCCCCTGATCCTATGGGCTTCAATTGCTGGTAACGTTTTAGTACAGTGAATGTTGAATCTGCAACTTGAACACTGTAAAACTGACTATCACATTTACTGTCACTCATGGTGTAGTGTCATGTAGTTTTCTCTCTCAAGGACCTGGTAAAGTCTTCAAGATCTTAAAGAAAAAGAAAGAAAACAAATGTTCAAACTAACTAATTTCAGGCAGTCAAGATGGAAAATATATTATACATATTCTAAATACATGAATTTTTCAATAGCCCACCATGAAATAAGCATTCTTTCAACTTCGTGTATTACCACTGCTAATGAAAAATACTTGCAGACAGACAGCAGATAATTATAGCCTTCACACCTTTAAGTAAATGTATGTTTCTATTCTGATCTCTAAAACAAAAAGCAGCTAAGTAAACAACTGTAAAAATAAACAAAAACATCCAAATCCAACAACTCTCTACTCCTTGAAGGATACTCCCTAACTTAGAATTACTACTGTGTGCTAGGACTGTGTTAATTTCTGTATTACGGAGAAAAAAAACGTCATAAATGTCTTTCAAACACTGACAATGCAGATAAAAGCAAGAGCAGAAACCCATGGAGTCCACAGACATAGAAAAAAACAAGATTTTAATACAAAACTTGATTACAACCACAAAACAGGTCTGAAACAAAACCACTGTCCCCCAAATCCCCACGGCTGCTGCTGCAGGTTCTCCAATAGTCATTTTCAACCCCCTTCAGTTGGAAATGTCAGCCAGGGCTCTGCCTCCCGCCCTCTGACCGGCAGCCCTTCCCTGATCCACACCCACCGCAGCCACCCTCCCTCCCATTTCAAACACACCATAACATCACATGTTATCAGTTAGTGTACGTAGTTCTACAAGAATCAGAGCTTTGTGCTCTAGTCTGAAAGAGACTTTCCTGCCACAGTAGAGAATAACTTACATCCATCTGTCAAGAATGACTTAGAGGTAGGTAATTACATCGAAGAGCAAGGTAATGGACTAAACCTCTTTAGCTTTAAAATGCTACAGTAACGAGAGTACAGACCTCTAGTTTTCCTGGGCCTCCATCCTTCTTCCAAACCTCACAAGAAAATTACCTCAGTAATTACTGTGGAGGTCTCTAACAAATTCTCCCATTTTTAATTTCACTTTCACTGTGACAGATAGTGTCATTACAGCCCAGAGTAAACTGCACAGTCAAGTGTTCCTTGAAATGGGAAATGAAAGCAGATCACCTTCCCCCGGAGCAGCTGTCCTAACCACCAGCCTGTACCACGTCTGCTCTAGCGAAAGAAAGAGCAGCTACTCTCTCTCTCTTCGCTGGCCTACAGAATGTTTGTGAGCCAATGCAAAACAGAAAAGCCTCAAGAGCAACCCAGAAGCTCATCCCAGAAAGGCATACAGCCACCTGAATAGCTTTAGGTTGTTTCAAGAATTAGAATTTGGACCTCTCTCCCTAGGTGCATGTAGGAGGAAGCACCAGCTTTTGCTTGGCTTAAGCCAACAGATGAACTCCAAGAAATCTGCAAGCAAAACAAGCAGAAGACCTACAAATCCTAAGAAGGACTGGGTTTAAACTGAACTGGTAATGGTTAGTCTTAAGGGATTCTCAAGAAATGTGTAGAGTCGCCTTTACCTTCTAGGTTCTCAAACTCTAAGAAGCATTTTAAGAAGTAGATATTCAACTATTCTCAAAATCTAAGAAGCATTTTAAGAAGTAGATATTCAACTTGGTCATCTCTGGCAGCAATTTAGACAGTAAGGTTACTTGGTATTTCCTCTGAGAAGCTTGAGGAGAAAGGATCAGCAAAGGGAAAATGTGAGCTACCAACCTTCTGCCTCTGCCACAGCAGTAGTAGGGGGGAGGAAGAGAGTTACATCTCCTATACAGTATTTTTAAGGGCAGTCAGACGCAGTCCCACAATCAGCTCACACTCATGCGAGACCAAAACGCTGCCGTAAGAGGTGCTCTCAACCTTTCCTACTACATCCCAGGAGAAACCCCACTCTTCTTTGCGACCCTTTTTATCACTCCAAAGCTACAGACTCTGAGGTACCCAATTTTTTGATTAACAGTCCCTGAGAAGCCATGGTACTTTCAGTGAATCTTCATCCATTAGAAGAAAAGTACGGCTGCAAGGTCAAGATCCTACCTCTGAAAAGGACTTCAACAAAAGCAAAAAAGTATACGTTTTGCGTAAGCTGGGTATCAAGTTAAAGACCTGTTAGTTACACAAGAACTATGCTGTACCTCTTCATGGGTTAAAGCAACAGTTTTCTATAACAAAGATAAAGAAGTAGGGAAAAGAGAAGTTATCTTGAACCAGAGAAACCCTCCCTTTAAGGAACCTTGTCTGCACAAAGCCATCTTTTAAAAATCATTTACACATCAGGATAAGCTCTTTAGACAAGACCCAAAGAGGGAATTAGGCATCACAGCACACCAGTTTTATGTATTCTGACATCCTTCACAATTGACCGTGCTAAGTACCCGGCCTCTCCATCAGCTGAGCCCTAATTTTCACTGGGGCTGCAAGCTGCTTGGGTGCATCATCACATACATTATTTCAGACACACACATGAATGTAAAATTAGGTGCCTAAGGATTTCAGATCTTCACAGGACTTCAGCCAGCCAATGTATTTCGTGGGTAAGATCCCTCAAATATAAACAGACTTTCCGTTGTTCAAGGGAAAAGTATATCTGGCAAATAAGTTTCTTAATCCTGAGCTGACTCTCCTACCTGAAATAATTTGATTCATCACTCCAGCTAACACACTCCACACTTCTCCCATACAGGAATTTTTCAGAAGTAGGCATTACTTCCATTTCTGAAATAAAAGTTTTCATTTATGGCTTCCTAGCTGCAGCTGCACCAGACAGGACCAGCACTGTAAAAGCCACAGGACGGTCAGCAAATGTACTTCTACTTGTTGATAACAGCATGTCACTGAATCACAATGCTTCAAGATGTTTTTCTGTTTTAGAGCATGCACAAGATGTACATACATTGAGTGCTGAGGTTTTTTTAACATAACTTGCCTGTACAATCGGGGAAATTAAAGAATCACAAAGCTAGCTGAGCACATCACATGCAGGAAACTTACAGGAGTGGTTTTCAACCTGCAGTTCATGAAAGATAATCAGAAAAATAACCAACCATCAGCAGGCTTACGAGCTGTTACATGAAGTTTTCAGAACTTGAAAGCAACTGCACTATAGCATGCATCCTGTATTAAGCAGTCACTTCCCTAAAAGGCATTTATTAAAATGGCAACTTATTATTAACCAGACCTGTCCTATGGATATCTTCAGGTCAAAAGCTTCCGAAACAAACAGGTTGTAGCAGCTGGGAACACATTCCCAGGGTTGTTTTGGTTACAGAAATGTTATTCCTGACAATGATGCAAACAAACATCAAGAAACTTAGCTTAATTTCTAAGCCTCAAGCTAAAATTCTGCTGCTGACAGAATGAATAGACAATGAACATATCTATATATTTATGAAAAGATGTGGACGTCGTGCAGAAATTCTCCCCCCATTCTCTTATTCACCCTTGCAAATGCACTTCAAATTCAGGTATGCCCTGTTAAGGACTATTACCCAGTAGTGTTGGAGGGCATTATCTTTACAGCAATATGTATCCACAGGACGAGTCTGACTACAAAATGACAGTGAGCTACCTCCTACCCTCTACTCACAACCCCTGAACAGTCAGTAGCGAAGGGGTAAGCACAGCACAGCAGCAGCCGCCTAACGTCAGTCGGTTACAGCGGAGTTTAGAGGCACTCTGTGTCTGTTCAGCTCTTGGAAACGTCGACCTTTTTCTTTACCCATTACCGACCTAAGATGTCACCAACTACCTGCCACTACTGTGCCGTTAAACACACACCGCAGACGAACGCGGGGTGTGTATCAGCGCCTGCGCTCGGGAAAGAGGGAAAAAGTTTAGAGGTGCATCCGCTGCAGCCAGTTACGCTGCTGTGAAATGAGGTAACGGGCGCGGAACCGAGCAAGAGCGCTTCTCGCGCCTCTCCTGAAACTTCTGCTGGGGAACCGCCGGGGCTGGAGCGCAGGCTCGGGTCCGCCCTCGCCGCCGCGGAGCG